GGGGGGGGGGAGGTCATTGGCTTACAGATTAATATTTCTATAAGTTTCTTGCTTACTTAGTGAAATAAAATCTTGGAACTAATCAATATAATTAATATTGATTATTATGAGGATTTAGCAGAGTCTCATATATTTGCACTGTTGCAGAAATATGAAATCCTTCATTTTTCTTGAACATGGCTTAGTTGCAAACAAACCCTGAACCAGAAATAGGAATTTTGTGAACAAGGCTTTGTCTTTTTCCACATTTGAGAACCAGAAAACAATGAAATAGGAAGACGACTATTAAGTGTATTTGATGTTATTATAAAGAAAATAGTTTTACTAGATATTTATCTTATGATTAGTTAAGTGAAATGGGTCTGTTTACACTGCTCAATTGTTGAGTCTAATGTTCATTGGACTATTTAAAGTCAGAATTCTTGAGTCTAAAAGTCGTCTTCCTATTTCAGAGTTTTCTACTTATTACTATAGTCAAGCTAATTTTGAAGTTGCATCAAATGATTTTGTAACCTGAGGCCGAATTAAAAGAATTTGAGTCGCGGCTTCATTTTAGCCACGGCTCAAAAATGGTTGGTTCCACTTTAAATCGTATTAAATTTTTTAACATCTAAGCCGGCGCACAATTTAAACCGGTTTTGGGGGAATTTGAGACGTTGCTCCAATTCAGTAAATTCGGACTGTGATGATATCGTTGATGTTTTAAACTTGGGTTGATTTATTCAATTGAATTCATAATTTGAAGTAACTAAAGTTATTAAAAATATACTGGACTTAAAATCAGAGTTTAGTCCAATTAAAAATTATATAATTTAAAAAGGTGTCCAAGGATTGCAAGTTTTGCGATTTCTTATTATTACACTTTCAACGTTAGTTTTGCTTCATATTACAATTCAAAGGGGGGAGGGTGCAACCCTTTCCCTGTAAATTATATGGGGGGGGGAGCACAACCCTACCTCTCTTTAGGGGAAGAATTGTTTCTAATTTTTGTGTGCAATAGAAGAACGAAATGGATTGCGCAAAACTTTTGACAGTGTTTTAAAAATCATTTAAATCTAATGTTCTACATGAGTCCATACAAGGCGTCCCAATAAACACGGGAATTGAGTGATGATTTGAAAGTCGTCTTTCACTTATGATATTTGACACAATGCAACTAAAGTATAAGAACGAGGCTGTGTCGTCTGGTAAGCTTTTCATAAAGTGGTCGATACCTTTCTTGTGTTTTAAAAATTGGCGAAGACATTATATATTATACAATTTTGTTTTATTAATTAAATGGAAGTTTTAAATTTTGTAATATCCTCTCAATTTCAAAGATACAAACACTTTAGACCACATTTTGAAAATCTCAAGACCTGCAGACATTTTCGATATTAGATTTTTAAACTCGAATATTGCAATAATTGTACTAATGAAAAAATGAACCATGGATCGAAGACGATAAAAATTTCATCACTTAATTCCCATGTTTATTGGAAGTTGAGACAGTTTATTGGGAGTTGGGACAGTTTATTGAGAGTTAGGACAGTTTATTGAGAGTTGTGACAGATTATTGGGAATTGTGACAGTTTATTGGGAGTTGGGACAGTTTATTGGGAGTTGGGACAGTTTATTGGGAGTTGGGACAGTTTATTGGGAGTTGGGACAGTTTATTGAGAGTTGGGACAGTTTATTGGGAGTTGGGACAGTTTATTGGGAGTTGGGTCAGTTTAATGGGAGTTGGGACAGTTTATTGAGAGTTGGGACAGTTTATTGAGAGTTGGGACAGTTTATTGAGAGTTGGGACAGTTTATTGGGAGTTGGGACAATTTCTTGGGAGTTGGGACAATTTATTGGGAGTTGGAACAGTTTATTGGGAGTTGGGACAGTTAATTGGGAGTTGGAACAGTTTATTGAGAGTTAGGACAGTTTATTGAGAGTTGGGACAGTTTATTGGGAGTTTTGACAGTTTATTGGGAGTTGGGACAGTTTATTGGGAGTTGGGACAGTTTATTGAGAGTTGAGACAGTTTATTGGGAGTTGGGACAGTTTATTGGGAGTTGGGACAGTTTATTGGGAGTTGGGCCAGTTTATTGAGAGTTGGAAGAGTTTATTTCCTTCCTTAAGGAAAAAGGTTCATAAAGAATGTAAAGATTCATTTTCAGTTAGAAGACGGAATTATTGAGATTGGTTGAAATGTCTTGTTCTTCGTTTACTCTTCTGTCTCTTGGTAATCTTAAAAAAATTTTCTCAAAAGTAAAAGTTTTTTTTGAAAAACAATTAATACATATTTTTTTGGTAAAAATATGATTAGACAAAAGTATTTATTTTTGATAAAAATAAATAATATCAAAATTGTCACAAAAAGAAGGGTCCAAATCTCAAAGGGTTCTTAAACAGTTAAAACTTACTGAACCAAATATATATTTTTTATTCTGATTAATGTTTCAAATATATATTTCTTATTCTGATTAATGTTTCAAATATATTTTTCTTATTCTGATTAATGTTTCAAATATATATATTATTCTGATTAATGTTTCAAATATATATTTCTTATTCTGATTAATGTTTCAAATATATTTATTATTCTGATTAATGTTTCAAATATATTTATTATTCTGATTAATGTTTCAAATATATTTATTATTCTGATTAATGTTTCAAATATATTTATTATTCTGATTAATGTTTCAAATATATTTATTATTCTGATTAATGTTTCAAATATATTTATTATTCTGATTAATGTTTCAAATATATTTATTATTCTGATTAATGTTTCAAATATATTTATTATTCTGATTAATGTTTCAAATATATTTATTATTCTGATTAATGTTTCAAATATATTTATTATTCTGATTAATGTTTCAAATATATTTANAGATACAGCGGGAGAAGTTACAGAAGATAAAGTAGGAGAAAATGCAAAAGATACAGCAGGAGAAAATACAGAAGATACAGCTGGAGAAGATAGTGATGTAAAAGACACAGAGGATACAGTTGATGTATATACAGAAGATTCAGCTAGAGAAGCTAAAAAAGATACGGTAGAAAAAAATACAGAAGATGCTGCAGGAAAAAATACAAAGTACACAGCTGGAGAAGATACTGAAGATACAGTTGGAGAGAATACAGATGACACAGAAGATACAGCTGGAGAAAATACAAAAGATACAGCTGGAAAAGGTATTGAAGAAACAGCTGTAGAAAATACAGAAGACACAGAAGATATAGCTGGAAGAGATACAGAAGATACAGTGGGAGAAGTTACAGAAGATAAAGTAGGAGAAAATGCAAAAGATACAGCAGGAGAAAATACAGAAGATACAGCTGGAGAAGATAGTGATGTAAAAGACACAGAGGATACAGTTGATGTATATACAGAAGATTCAGCTAGAGAAGCTAAAAAAGATACGGTAGAAAAAAATACAGAAGATGCTGCAGGAAAAAATACAAAGTACACAGCTGGAGAAGATACTGAAGATACAGTTGGAGAGAATACAGATGACACAGAAGATACAGCTGGAGAAAATACAAAAGATACAGCTGGAAAAGATATAGAAAAAACAGCTGTAGAAAATACAGAAGACATAGAAGATACAGCTGGAGAAGATACAAAAGATACAGCTGGAGAAAATACAGAAGATACAGTAGGAGAAAATACAGAAGATACAGCTGGAGAAGATACAGAAGATAGCGCTGAAGAAAATACAGCTGGAGAAGATAAAGCTAAAGAGGATCCAGTAGGAAAAGATATAACTGGAGTGGATAAAGAGGATACAGCTGCAGATGGTGCAGAAGATACAGCTGCAGAAGATACAGAAGATACAGAAGATACAGCTGAAGAGGATACAGAAGATACAGCTGAAGAAGATGCAAAAGATACAGTTTCAGAAGACACAGAAGATATATCCAAAGTAGATACAGAAGAAATAGCCGAAGTATATAAAGAAGATACAGCTGGAGAAGATACAGAGGATATAGCTGGAGAAGATACAAAAGATAGAGCTGAAGAAGATAAAACTGAAGAACATACAGAAGATACATCTGGAGAAAGCACAGAAAAAACAGCTAGAGTAGATACAGAAGATTCAGCTGGAGATTTAGAATTAGAAGGTACAACTAAAGTATATGCAGAAGGTACAGCTGAAAAAGAAACAGAAGATAAAGCTGGAGAAGACACAGAAGATATAGTTGGAGAAAATACAGAAGACACTGCTGAAGAAGATACGAAAGATACAGATAGAGAAAATACAAATAGTGATGATACAGAAAATACAGCTATAGAAGATACAGAGGATACAGCTGGACAAGTTACAAAAGATACAGCTGGAGATGATACAAAAGATACAGCTGGAGACGATACAAAAGATACAGCTGGTGAAGATGCAAAAGATACAGCTGTAGAATATATACCAGAAGACACAGCTGAAGGAAATGCAAAAGAGAAAATAAATGTCAAATTACCAGTTCATGTCATCCATTTGGGAAAAGCTGAGAAAACGTTTATTTTAACAGGCGGATTTAAAACATCATTGTTGATTTCAAAATCACAAGAAAACGCATTAAAATCAGTTATTTCGTCGCCTTCAGAAAAATTGATTCAATTACCACCTCCTGCCATCATTGATCAAATCAGACGAAGAACTGCAAGCTCAAAAGTATCCAATGTATCTTCAGCATTCAAATCAGCACCAAAGACTTCTGTAGGATCAGTGTTCATACCAACTTCAACTACAGGAACAACAATACCATCAGTAATACCAACATCAATGGTAGACACATCACTGGTAAAGGGTCCCGTAACGTCGAAAGAAAAGCAGGCAGCAAAACAGAAGAAGAAAAGGTGTAAATTTGCAAAGAAGAAACCCCTTCCTGTCCAAAAGAAACAAAATATGAAAGGTTTATGCAATATTATTTTGCTTAGGGGTCACAATTTAAAACCTTGCTAAAACAATGCTAGACTTAAGACGCCATTTTTGATGATAAAAAAAAACAAAATGTTCACGGGTTTTCTTAAATTGGTGCATTTTCAAAATAAAAAACGTCTGAAAACTTTCTGGACAAAATTTTTTCTGATTTTGGACCCGCTTGGTTTAGCACTTTTGACCATTATTAGATACAAACAGATACAAATAGAATAGACAAGGAATATATATATATATATATTGAACATAAATAGAGAATCGTCCAGGTAGAGGTTTAAGAGAAAGATTTTTATTTGTTGATTTTGTATTTTAATCATAATTCTATAACACAAAAATATTTAAATTTTAATTATCTTAAAGTCAATTTTGGTATTAGTGGAGTTTAAAGCAATGTTTTCAAAAACAAATCAAAAAGTAAAATTTTAATTAATATGGAGTTTTATTTTTTTTTTTTTAAATTTGTCCTTCGTGAAAAGAAACCGTTTCTCCAAAATTATTAGTTTTCTATAATTAATAAAGATTTCAAATCTTAAAATATTTATTTTAGGCCTGGAAAAGATGTCAGTTATGTCTTCTGTTGGGAAACATCTCCAAATCAACGACATCGAAAAAACTGACTTGAAAGTGAAATATATAAACAGAGAAATAAAAAAGGTACATTTGATAAATAATCGTTATTAAACTTTTGTATTGTAAATCTCCGGATCAAGCATTGATCTCAATCTTATGCAGATCTACTGTTTGTTTAAATAACTCTTTGATATCCCTTGATATTATGGTCATTACCTGCAAGGACAACTTTAATTCAGGGATCAATCATTAATCCTTACATATTAAAGTGGAAATCCGACTATGTGGTTATCCGACAATGTGGATATCCGACTATGTGGATATCCTACTATGTGGATATCCGACGATGTGGAAATCCGACTATGTGGATATCCGACGCTGTGGATATCCGACTATGTGGATATCCGACTATAAGGATATCCTACTGTGTGGATATCCGACTATGTGAATATCCGACTATGTGGATATCCGACTGTAAGGATATCCTACTATGTTGATATCCGACTATGTGGATATTCGACTATGTGGATATCCGACTATGTGGATATCCGACTATAAGGATATCCGACTATAAGGATATCCTACTATGTGGATATCCAACTATGTGGATATCCTACTATGTGGATATCCTACTATGTGGATATCCTACTATGTGGATATCCTACTATGTGGATATCCTACTATGTGGATATCCTACTATGTGGATATCCTACTATGTGGATATCCTACTATGTGGATATCCTACTATGTGGATATCCTACTATGTGGATATCTTACTATGCAGTGGATATCCCATAACCCATTTTGTTCGGTTCATTCAGGCATTCAGAAAAAACATTGAACTTTTTTGTTTTCAGTAATATCGTTATTTTCCATTTAGAAATCGTTCATAGACAGTCTGACTAATCCATGCGAACGATCATTAATGTTTTTGAATTTTTATTTCTTTCTTAAAACGATCGTTTTTTTATTTCACTGAACGATCCAATTTATTCGTTCATTGTTTATTATTTTTCTGGACGACTCCTATACTTCACGAACAATTTCGTTCCTTTGCAAAAACTATCCCCATCTCTAGCATTCACCAATGAGTAATGACAACTTTTAAAATATATTATGATGGTAATAAAGTCTATTGACCCAACCGTAGATCCATTAAAAAAATTCCCAGCTTGGATCAAATATCAAACCATTTTTGTATTGCAAACCTGAAAAAATACTAATTTCTTTACCGGTCACTCCATTTAAAGGCTGATAATATGGTTGACGAAGTAAAAAGAAAATTTGAATATACCGAGGAAATGCTGAACAATAGTGCAGGTAACAATCAATAAAAAAGCCAGCTTGGAAATCCAGCTTTGTCGGATAACTTAAATGAACTGAGTGTTTGTAGCAAGTTCCTAATCACTATATCTGTTCAACCCGATGGTGTACAGCTTTAATATTTTAAACTTAGATTATTTGATCTAACAGAAATTAAAGAAAAATTTAGAGTTTGTGTCAGGACTCAGTTATTTTCTCCAAGAAAGTTATTTGACTAAATTAAGAATTTTGAGACCAACCTAATCCCGTGGATCTACCAAATTGCCTAATCAAAACTTGAGGCAAATGAGACAAACTAACGCAGACTACTACTTTTTTATATGTCTTGAGTATTAAATCAATTTTTTAAGTTAAACCTTTATGTTAAGTATCATAGCACTTTTACCTCATTAAAAAAAGTATTGGTCATGTAAATCTGTTCAAATTATCCTACAATAATAAATTTTTAGATTACACTTTTTCACTTTTTTATATCAAACCAATTTAAAAATTATCTAATATTTGTGTTTTCTATTAGTTTAGTTATGTTAATAAACTTTTGATAAATTTTTATTATCATTAAAAAGTTCGACTTTTTTCGGTTGGCTTTTAACAGGTCAAACAATGTAATTCTTAAAATATACAAAAATGAACATCCATCACAAACTCAAGTTTTCCCATCACATTATCTTTGCAGCCTAACTGTTTAAATATTTAATATTTCTAACTAAGACTATTTAATCTTACAGAATAGATAGATTGAATTATCAAAAGTTTACAACGCCAAGGTGCAAAGATTTAGGGATTTGAAAATTATGATTTTTTCTAGTGTTCTCTGTCCTTACTGACCAAAATAACACTCTCCTTTCAAGAATTCAAACAGTCAGTAGTGCTTTTCAAGGTACAATTACAAGTTTTATTAATATTCATAATTATTATTTATTTTTATTTGAACTAACTAAAAAATTGTTTTAAGATATGGCTGGTATGATTGGTAATAGACACATGGAAAGAACTTTAAATGATCTAGGTAAGATTATTTTTTCAGTTTTTTTTTTATCTGCATAGTTTACATTTCCTGCACGGTATGTTTGTCTTTTGATTAATTGATTAATCAATTGATAAAATGATTAATCAATTGATTAAATAATTAATCAATTGATTAATTGTTTAATTAATTGATTAATTGGTTACTTAATTGATTAATTGATTAGATAATTTATTATTTGATCAATTGATTGCTAACTTGATTATTTGATTGTTTATTTAATTAGGTTTGCTTGAAGAGTATGCAGAAAATAGAAAAGAAATGTTTTCTGTTGATAGAGATTACTTAAACAGGAAATCATTTTATCTGAAATGTATTTTGTTATAGCTTTGGCATATCATTGTTTATGAAACTATGAACCTTTATATATATTTACATGAAAAGGGGACAAGAAGCGGCCTAAAAGCCTTTAAATTACTTTAAGACGAACGAGGCACATAAAGATATAAAACATGATTTTAACAAAAAAGTAGCAAGTAAAAAATGAGGTTTTATTTTGTGTAAATTTTATAAACATTAACCATTACACATTAAAAAAAAGGTAATTCCAAATAATTGTTCGGCAAAAGTGTAAAATTTTGTTTTGTTTAACTTAACGAATTCTCATTCTTAAATATGAAAATAAACTAAACTAAAACTGATTTGTTTCAGTTTTGCCAGTAAATTAATCTATCAAGTTCGGGAAGTGATCAGGCAAGGTTTGTATCAACTATATATAAATTTGGCTTGTCTGTTTGTTTGTCTGGGTGTCTGTCTGTTTGTATCCAATAAACGTCAAAACGGCTGAACCGATCGGGCCCAAATTTTTTGTGGGACATCACGTGACCACAGGGAAGGTTTATGAATGATAAAAATTTTAAAAAATGTGTTTTAATGGTTTTTAATTTTGTAAAAAAAAAATTCTTTAAAATCCGCGATTTTTTTTTAAAATCCGCAAAAAAATTTTCTTCTTTGTTTTTAAAAAGAACATGTTCACAAGTTAAATAGAAGATGAGCGCGAAGCGCCCTAAAAGCCTAGAAAGAATGGCGCGAAGCGCCTTGAATTTCTAGTTAATTATACTTTTTTAATAAAAATGAAAAAGGTTAATAGTGAGAATTAGTTGAGCCGCGTAGATGAGGTTCAATTAGATACTTCCCCTGGCACAATTTTTTCCCTTTTTTATCCCTTTACTTTACTTTACTTACTCTTATATTTGTTTTAGTCAGTATCCTCACCCCCTGGCTCAATTTTTCCTGTTCTATCCCTTTACATTGCTTTAATTACTTTTTCATTTGTTTTACCCAGTATCCTCACCCGCTGGCTTCATTTTTCCTGTTTTATCTTTTTACTTTACTTTGTTTACTTTTTGTTTTTGTTTTAGCTACTGTGGTAAGCGATTATATCAATACAATGAAGACGACTTTTGATGTTAATTTTGATTTAGATTAAGCTGTTAAACAGCATGGATACACATAAACATAAAAGTCGAGAGATGCTATCAATTAAAAAAGGATCTCTTTGTTTACTTATATCCTAGAAATTCTTCTAAAAATCAAAACAATCAAAACTTTAAAAAGTCGTCTTCATTGTATTGATATAATTGCTCACCACTGTAGGATCCTCAACCTCTGGCAAAATTTTTAATCCTTTTTTATCCCTTTCCTTTGTTTTTTGCGGAAGAATACAAGGTGATCGAAAACCAATTGAGCGAAATTTAAGAGTTAATCAAGAAACCTATGTACACATTTGTACAAATGTAAAAAAAAAGGAGAAAGACTTGAAAAAATGATAAAAAGGGATAAAAAAGTAGAAGAAAGAAGATGTTAGTTTAAGAATGAAAAGGAAGATTAAAGAGTGTGAAAGAAGGAGAAAGATAGAAGAAAGGAAAACGAGGGAGAAAGAATAGGAGAGATGAAAAAGACTGAGAAAGATGGAGAAAAAGAATTTTCGATTANGGACTAGCAGTTTTTATCAAAGAAATGTTCTCATTCATTTATTTTTCAGATGAAAAGGTTTTTCTGCTACAAGATTGTGAAACAAGTCCAGAGTAAGATTTTAGTTTTAAAATTGTGAAGTACAAAAATTCCTTTTTTAAATTTAAACCTATTAAAGTAAAATACCGAAATACCTGTATTAAATTTAATTTTATTAAAGTGAAGTACAAAATTATATTTATACAATTTAATTCTGTCAAAGTGAAATACCAAAATACCTTTAATAAATTTAAGATTATAAATTTAATATAAATTTAATATTACAGTAAAATACCAAAATTATTTTACTGAATTTAATAATATTAAAGTGATATACCAATACATTTATTCAATTGAATTCTATGAAAGTGAAATACCATGAAAACATTTCTAAAATTTTATTAAAGCAAATATCAAAATACATTTTAATATACAATTTAAATGTATTAAAGTGAAATACCAAACTACTGCAAGAAGTATGAGGTCCGTTGGTTCCATAACACAACAGCAGGTAACCTATACATTATATGGCAAAATAATAATAATAATAATACACATTCAACCATATTTTTAGAAGAACTTAAAGGGAGTGTTCACGAAAAATGAAAGGGGGTATAGACTTAATGCGATAAAAAAGCGCTTTTAATCGCTACTAATCTTATTTTTATCTGTTGCGTCTATAAGGAGAAAATTGTTAAAAACGACTAATACCGAAGAACGTAAACAAATCCATTTAATTTTAAATTCTTCGGTATTAGTCGTTTTTAAAAATTTTCCCCTTATAGACGCAACAGATAGAAGTAAGATTAGTAGCGATCAAAAGCGCTTTATTATTGCATTAAGCCTTTACCCCCTTTCATTTTTTGCGAACACTCCCTTTAATCTGAATAACATTCAATTTTATTCATGATTTTTCCCTTCACTTATCTATTCTCTATCATCAAAACATTTCCTTACTTTTCATTTCTTTTTAATACCTTACATTTTCGAGAATATAATTAGATTTACGCATTTACTATTGAAAAACCCATGACAGAATTCAGCAAAGAGTACAGAACAAAGAAAGACTAATTTGCTAATTCTTTCATCCTTGATGTTGTAGACCTTAGACAGTTGAACTGTTAGTTTTGCTAAATAGTTTAAAATATCAGATTTCGAGGGTATAGTGATTTTGAAATTTGACTTTAAAACTTCCTTTGTCCTGCATTTTTTTGCATCTTTTTTAGTTTTAAAAAAATCTTCAAATTTTTTCGCTGCCTATTTTTTTTAGAAACACAACCAGATGTGTAAGTTCGAAAAAATAGTTAACACAAACCTATATAATACTACTGTTCATAAAAGTAAAAAAGTTTCGAGTAGGATTTTCAGGTCGATGTGAAAGGATGTGGGGAGGATGTGAGTTTGATGGATATTTTGAAAACAATAATAATAAGTTTAAAGATGAATCAGCTTGCAATCAGGTAATTATTTGCAACATTGAAATGTAAAATAAAATAAAATAAAATTCATGCACATTAAAGGTACATTTAGACTCAAGTGACCTTTCACAACAGTTCATGCCACAGAAAAAATCATTGAAATCTTTTTGGTTTTCAAGCTGAAAATCTGAAAATGAGCAATTTTCAATTGAAGTTAACTAATCTCTTTATCTTCGAAATTTGAGGGATTATTTTATCTAACAGAATGTTTAGTTTGAAATATTAAAGGTCTATAATATTGGGTTGCTAAGAGATAGAAAATCAGAGTTTGTGACAAAAGCTCAATTCCTTTAACTGTTTTTGAGGAAAAAGAGAACTTCTTCCTTATAAAGAAAAAACTTTAAAGGATTCTGTGTGAATTAACATGGAGGGTCGCAAATTTATTTTATTTTAGACTTGTGTGGAACCAGGAACTTTTCCAAGAACATTTTTCTTTTCATATTTTTTTGAAATGAAAAAAGAAAAGCTAGAAGTACAAACTAATGATATATTTTGTAAGCTTTTATCGTAAAATTATCTCCAAAAAAATGTGAATTTTGGAATATTTGATTGGAAATGTTGAGTTACTAGGATACCCTGAAGCCTGCTTCCTAAAACCTTCTAAAGGTCTGTGTGACTATACTGAAGAAAGGTGATTTGATATTTAAAAAAAATAGAAACAACATGGAACTCTGAGACAAATAATCTTGAAGAATGATATAATTTGCAAGTTTACTGAAGAGAATTTCGCTAAATCAAATGCTTTAGAATGAGAGCTCAAAAGAAAAAATTGATAACATTTCTTTTACAGCAATGATTTCTGCTCATAGAAATTTTAATTTATAAATTTAACTATACTTAGGCCGAATTTAAAGAATTTGAGCCGCGGCTCAAATATGGTTGGTTCCACTTAAAATTGTATTCAATATTTCAAGATTTAAGCCGGCGCTCAATTAAAACCGATTTTTGGCAGATTTGATACGCGGCTCAAATTCATTAAATTAAGACTCTGAATGTTTAATTTGTACTTTACACCAGAGCAGGGTTGCCAGCTGTTTAACTATACTGGATGTTTAGATTGTTCTATAACACTTGAGCAGGGTTGCCGGCTATTTAACTATAGTGGATGTTTAGATGGTTCTATACATCAGAGCAGGGTTGCCGGCTATTTAACCATAGTGGATGTTTAGATGGTTCTATACACCAGAGCAGGGTTGCCGGCTAATTAACTATACTGGATGTTTAGATGGTTCTATACACCAGAGCCGAGTTGCCGGCTGTTTAACTATACTGGATGTTTAGATTGTTCTATAACATTAGAGCAGGGTTGCCGGCTATTTAACTATAGTGGATGTTCAGATGGTACTATACACCAGAGTAGGGTTGCTGGCTAATTAACTATACTGGATGTTTAGATGGTTCTATACACCAGAGCAGGGTTGCCGGCTATTTAACTATACTGGATGTTTAGATTGTTCTATACACCAGAGTAGGGTTGCTGGCTATTTAACTATACTGGATGTTTAGATTATTCTATACACAGAGCAGGGTTGTCGGCTATTTAACTATACTGGATGTTTAGATTGTTCTATACACCAGAGCAAGGTTGCCGGCTATTTAACTATACTGGATGTTTAGATTATTCTATACACCGAGCAGGGTTGCCGGCTATTTAACTATACTGGATGTAGGGTTGCCAGCTGTTTAACTATACTGGATGTTTAGATTGTTTTATAACACTTGAGCAGGGTTGCCGGCTATTTAACTATAGTGGATGTTTAGATGGTTCTATACACCAGAGCAGGGTTGCCTGCTATTTAATTATAGTGGATGTTTAGATGGTTCTATACACCAGAGCCGGGTTGCCGGCTAATTAACTATACTGGATGTTTAGATTATTCAATACACCGAGCAGGGTTGCCGGCTAATTAACTATACTTGATGTTTAGATTGTTCTATACACCAGAGCAGGGTTGCCGGCTATTTAACTATACTGGATGTTTAGATGGTACAATACACCAGAGCAGGGTTGCTGGCTTTTTAACTATACTGGATGTTTAGATGGTACTATACACCAGAGCAGGGTTGCCGGCTAATTAACTATACTGGATGTTTAGATGGTACTATACACTAGAGCAGGGTTGCCGGCTATTTAACTATACTGGATGTTTAGATGGTACTATTCACCAGAGCAGGGTTGCCGGCTATTTAACTATACTGGATGTTTAGATGGTACTATACACCAGAGCAGGGTTGCCGGCTATTCAACTATACTGGATGTTTAGGAAACCAAAACAATTTTCATACCTACAGAAAATGCCAGGTAAATAAGTCAATAAACTATAAATATTTAAAGATGAAAAAATCAACAACGCTTATCTACTTAAAACCTTATTCTAAGCAAAAAATCATGCAGATACTATCGATACTGATAGTTGATAAGGGTTTCTCTATATAAGAGAATTACGGCTTTATGCTTCAGAAATAAGGAAGGAAATTGTAAGAAGTCAAGACTTAAAATTACATTGACAGATATCTCTTTAAGTTTCAATCTAACTTTCATGGACTGTGTTTATTTGAGGGTTTCCATGCACAAAAACATATTTTTCAATTTCTGTAAAGTTTGGTAAAATTGTGTTAAATATTTATTTGAATAACAATAAAAAATCTGTTGACACAGAATTAAAAGTTAAAAAAAGAAATTGCGATTTGTTTAGTAATAAAAAAGTCCTTTTTTTCCAGGATACCTGTTATGGAGCAAAAACAATATTAGGTAAAATTTATGCTGTCAGGTAACCCTTTTGAAAAATATAACATATTCTATCACTTTATATAGCTTTAAGGAATTGAGAATTGTCACAAACTCTGACTTTCTTATCAGCTGATATCGTAGCAACCCAATGTCGGAGACCTTAGATATCTCAAAACATAAATTCTTTAGGATTAAATAATCTAAGTTTCAAATATCAAAGGTTTACAGCATGATGTTGTTAAGATATGCCAACTACAATTTTAGTTTGTGGCAAAGACTCAATTCCTTTCAAGTAAAAATTTTTAATATAAGATGTTGTTCTTTGCATGCCACCATCTCTCTGTACATTTTGTACATCGTCCTCTTTTCTTTAATCAATATTTTTGAGTAAATACTATAAAATTTGGACAGGTAACAAATAGGGATGGATCGTTTCCACTTTTTTGAAAACCGATAGAGAGAAAATACATTGTTCGGAAAATCCGACCAAAAACATTGAAATTAATTGTCAAAAAACTCAGATTCATTTGCAAAATTTTTTCAAAAATTATCGTTTTTTACAAAACGCTCGTTTTGCGTTTAAAAAACGATCGTTTTGCGTTTTTTGAAAGTTCAAAATGAGTGGTTCGTTTTCAAAAACTATCGTTTTTAGAAAGAAAAAGGAAACGAAAAACGACCGTTTTTTCGATCGATTTTGAAAACATGTCTTATTGAGGCATCCTTTTTATTTAGATTTAAATTTGTTTAGAAATTGCTCTTTTTTGTACTAATATTTTATTTTGATTTTCAGCTCCTTGTCCCGGGCTGAATCTGAAAGATTGATTGCGCATAATACGACATTTTTCATCTTGGAAGATATAAATGTAAAGAGATGTTTTAAAGATATTCCTATTATATAGATTAACTAGGTCGGTTGTGAACATTGGCTGCTCTTATGTCATTGAGTACTTGTGGTGTACATGAGTTCTGTAGAGAGAAATTTAAGTTAGTTCAGTCCTTCTCATGTCCTTTTTCAGTTCTCGTCAATATGATATATTGCTCAGTGAAATATTGTTGTTCAAATAGTTCCATTCCCGGAGTTATTTTACATTCTATTATGAAATCCATTAAAACACCAAACCACCCCGCTTATCATTGTATTACACTTTGACCCCTAGAAGTATTATTTATCTATGAATCTTACCCATGGTGAAGTATCCCGACCTAATCCCTGTAAACTCTGTACATGTGAGAACGGAGTTGGAGTTTGTAATTTACAGAAGGACTGTCCGGTCCTAGACTGTGAACCCTCAATGTACTTTCAGGAGGACGGAGAATACTGTCCTGTTTGTAAGGTAGGACGGAGAATGTTGTCCTGTTTTAAAGGTAGGACGGAGAAGGTTGTCCTGTTTGTAAAGGTAGGACGGAGAATGTTGTCCTGATTGTAAAGGTAGGACGGAGAATGTTGTCCTGTTTGTAAAGGTCGGACGGAGAATGTTGTCCTGTTTGTAAAGGTAGGACGGAGAATATTGTCCTGATTGTAAAGGTAGTACGGAGAATGTTGTCCTGTTTGTAAAGGTCGGACGGAATATGTTGTCCTGTCTGTAAAGGTAGGACGGAGAATGTTGTCCTGTTTGTAAAGGTAGGACGGAGAATATTGTCCTGTTTGTAAAGGTCGGACGGAGAATGTTGTCCTGTTTGTAAAGGTCGGACGGAGAATGTTGTCCTGTTTGTAAAGGTAGAACGGAGAATATTGTCCTGTTGGTAAAGGTAGGACGGAGAATATTGTCATGTCTGTAAAGGTAGGACGGAGAATGTTGTCCTGTTTGTAAAGGTAGGACGGAGAATAGTGTCCTNTTGAAGGATAATTTTTCAATTTTATAAATTAGGACAGGGAACTGTGTCCTGTTAGTAAAAGTAGAATAGACACTTTAGCCATGTTTGTTAAAGTAGGACAAAGATTTGCCGTCTTAATATCCAGGCTCACTTGAAATCCCTTTAAAATTATTTTTTAGAATATCAGATTCCTCAAATACAGATAAATGCACAACAAACAACAACAGTAACAGCAATAAAAGCAACAACAACACCTTCTGAAGCATATGATTTTGAAGCAACGGATGACTTTGGAGTCAAGGTGATATATATTTATTTAAATATTTTTAGCATCTTATTATTTTTAACATTTTTAATACTTTTAATAGTTTTTTTTTGTATTCTTTATTATAATTCTTTTTAGATTAGGTTTAGATTGTTTATGTTTATAGGAAGAATTTTATTCCAACCAAGTTAAATATTTTTTCCAAACGTGGTGTTTGATAAAAAATATTAAACTTGTTTGGAATATCAGTATATGATAAATTAAGATAGTTTTGTCAAATAAAATGCAGGAAATGAAAAATGATTATTAGTTCTTTAGATACAATTAATAAATTCTATAAACAGATTGTGTTACATTCTTAAAATTATAAATAGAAATGAATTTGCTAACAATGCACTTGATTTATCAAGAGTTGCTGACCAATCAAAACATAAAAATGCAACCTTCACTAGCTACATTCTTAGAAATATATCAAGATTTAATATCAGAGAAATCCCTGTAAGCCCCCCCAAAAACTACTTTGAAAGAATTCACATTATACATCTTTTTTTTGGAAATTGGAAATCTTAAAAGTGCTTTTAATATACTAAAAATTAAAGAAGTTATAGCCAAATACCGGTCCAAAAATCTGTATTTTAACTTTTCAATGTTTTTTTGGTGAGTTTTCTAGCTCTAACTCATTCAATTTTCATTTTTTTTAAAGCGCTTTCAGATTTGAATTCAGCATAAAATTTCCAAGAAAATTATGTATAACATAAAATTTTTCAAAATATTTTTTTTGAGGCCGATACGGTGATTTCTCCGATATTAAATCGTCAATTCGCAACCGAACGGACGGTTTTTAAACTTTTTTCAATGAAAGTGAAAACGCAGCAACCTCTGGAGGCGGTTTGCTGAATTCTAAAAAAAAGTCACAGATCAATCACCCTTAATATTTATATCTTTTTGTATTATTTATTTAACTTTTTCTGATTATGGAGGTTTTTTAGATACCTCTAAAGGGACTGTAAGCGTAATTTCAAGGGAACTTCCATTTACTGAGGGGAAGCCCTGATTCACAACGGAACCCTTTAAATTTTGACTGATCAATGATGACTTATCTTCAGAAACACCTTTAGTGTATCAATTACGTCATTGGTCCGTGTACGCTGCACAATTACTGTGTTTAAAATTCAAAGTCATAACTTGAGTCTAACAGTCGTCTTCTCATTCCGTTATGGGTCTCACTGTATAAAATAATATTATAGAAAAAATATTTTGAAAAGGATGATATGAGTCGAAAAAACGCATAAGATTTAACAATTTAAGGTAAACATGTATGGTCCTGAACTTGTAGGAGTTGGTGATCTCNAACAACAACAACAACAAGACCGACAACAACAACAAAAACAACAATAACAAAAGCAACAAATGGTAAGATATAAACAATAACAATACGTACGTTTTGGACCAGGCTGTAGCAAAAGTCGTGTAAATATGATATTCTGTAAACTTGCAATACGTTGTAAAATATTAATGATTTAATATTGTAAACTAGGACATAATGACATTTTTCATTGAAACTGCATTTCAATTGAATACTTAACATAATTAGTTTAAATCATGCGACATGTCTACTGTGCGAGAGTAGACCTGGAACCCTGAAGCTTGTATTCAGGTCGGTCCTCCCCTTTAATTTGGGATCAAGTGATTGCTAGTGTCTGTATTGGCATTGCTAGCAAAAGAGATCGCGCCCTGTGTAGTGGCGTTGATTAGTCACAAGATGGTAACCATGTGGATTGTGTTCTGTTTGAGACATTGATCAATTTATAGCTAGTCTCTGTATTGACACCGATAGCTAACGAGATCGCGCCCCGTGTAGTGGCGTTGATAGTTCATGGGATTGTAGCCGTGTGGATTGTGTTCCTGTGTGACATTTAGAACATTGGATCATCCCTATCATTTGGGATTAATAAAGATAGCTTGATTTGATACCTACGCTTGTGTCCTTCTGTGGCATTTAGAGCCTGGGATTCAGTCCTGGTTGAACACAGTATTATTAACTTGATTTTGATAGTTAGGCTTGTGTCCCTGTGTGGCATTTAGAGCCTGGGATTCAGTCCTGGTTGAGTTTGATAGCGGACTGATTGTACCTGAATAGATACGTTCGAAAACTTGTTATGGAGTAGGTGTTTACTACAAGGCTTTCTGGTCAGATTTAAAAAATCCACTAAACATTGTCTGAAGTCAGAAGTGAAATAAATCTAGAATGAAATATAGGCTTAAGACGATTAAAAATGTAAACATTCATTTTTATGTTTACTGGGATACCCTTTACAAAACAAGGAAGAACTTCTTATAATTTCACTTGGCGTACTATCCCTGTTTGCCTTACATGGTGTGTAATTGTATTGTGCTGTACTTTACAGCTTGATATAGCTGTTTTTCAGTGACTACAAAAATTAAAGGCAACAACAATTGTAAAATAAATATTTAGAAAATTTTACTTCGGGCAATTTTTGTTTGCAAATTCGTCCTTCGTGATGCTATACCCTAAGGAATGGAGTCCTTGCCACAAATTCTGATTTTCTGATCCCTATATCTTTTGAACCCTTTGTCGTAAACCTTTGATATTTCAAACTTATATTATTTGATCTAACAGAAGTCATAGTTTGAAATGTCAAATATTTACAACATTGGACTGCAAAGATATTGGAAAATCAGAGTTTGTGACAAAGACTCAATTCCCTTGTCTTCACTTTAAAAATGTTCTTAAATGTTCTTTTAAGATTTTTTTTGGCATAAATCTTAATTCTTATTTTTCATAAAAGTTGAACTTTTTTGGATTTGTCTAATACTTATAGTTGAAATTAAACTTTTTGACCGAAGAGCTACAAGACATTTTACATTTTTTATGAAAGTTTACACTGTGTATTAACCAGAATATATCTGAATGACAGTCGCCTTGAATTAATCATAAACTTCCCGATGCTGTTTTTTAATTTGCTTTATCAAACAATTTGAAAAAACCCAGCTTTTCCTGGAAACTAGGTTTTTCCTGTATAAAAATTTTAATCCAAGCTAATTGAACATTGTTTTTGCTGTACCGACCGAGCGCCCCCAAGAAAATTGGTCAAGGGGTTTATGAGTTATGATTGGACATATACACAGTCGGATATACAAACATCTCTTCACACAGACACCCTAAAACAGATTACTTTATATTATCAATCACAACAGTTCCAAATTCTTTCCGATTTATTTTGGATATCACTGTATTATATAAATCAATAAATAATCTTTTTACAATATTTGATTTATAGCAGCTAGGCTCACTCCCAAATAGAAACGCAAAAAACTGGGGTTCAACAACTGAAAGGGTATGTATAAAAACATTATAAAAGGAATTGCGTCCTTGCCACAAATTCGAATATTTTTCTCCCTATATCTTTGCAACCTAATGGTGTAAACATTTAATATTTCAAACTTAGTTTATTTAATTCAACATAATTGATAGTTTGAAACGTAGATTAATAGAAATACAGATAGAACATTAGATGTCGTCTTTTCAATATTTAGTGGTTTTTGTTCACAATAACCCTGAGGCAGAAGCCAAAATGGGTTACGCGAATTCACCGTTGAATTACAAGACAGAGAGAAAGCATATGCGTAACTCCTTTGGGCTTCTGCCTCAGGGTTATTGTGAACGAAAAGCCCCTAAATCTTGAAAAGACGACATCTAGTGTTCTATCTAAATTGTTAATAGTCTATGGTTAAATTATCTAAGGTCTATGATGTTGGGTTGCAAAGATAGAGGGATTAGAAAATGATAGTTCGTGTCAAAGATTGAATTCCTTTGTGTTGATTAAATTGGAAACAGTTCTTTTTTAAAGATTTACTTGTTGTAGGTTTCAAGACTCAACGTGAACAAACTCAACTATAAGAGAGGAAGTCGGTTCTATTGTTTAGCAACTTTGCCACATATTTCTAATCCTTATATCTTTGCAACCAAATGTCGTAGACCTCTAATAATTAAAAACTATGAATTCTACTAAAACAAATAATATAAGTTTGAATAAGGTTTAAACCATCAGGTTTAATCTATATGGGATTTGAAAAATTGAGCTTGTGGCAAAGACTTAAGTCATTTTACTCAAAATAAAATTTATCAAAAAACTTTTTTTTGCAAATCTTGTTGGAAGTAATTTTATTTTTACATATATATTGCAAAACCTGTTTGTTTGCTGAATTCAACACAAAACCGAAAAGTTTTTAAATTTTCTGTAGAATATGTAATAAATATTTTAGATTTAAATTTATTAATTAAAAACAAAAATGTTTATTAACATTTTATTTGCATCAAAATTTAAATTATTAACTAAATTATAACATTATAGTATTTTATAGTATTGCCATTATGAACCTGAGCAAAAAAGCAAAATAAAGTGCATAATTATGATTCCTGTAATATTACTAATTACAGGTAAGAATAGATACTGCTGCAAGAGTTGTAACAGCCCTCAAGTCTTCCTACCTCAACAAATTGTAAGTTTTTTTTAGATAAATAATTACAATAAAAATTTAAACTGAATGACACTATGTTATGTAGAAAGATTTGAAAATTACAATTTCTTTTTTAATTAATTGTCAAAAATATTTTTAAAAGTTTTGATTTTAAAAGTATACATTGTAATGCATTCACATTCATTGATTTAAAAGCTGGCTGTAGACATCATTTACAGCTATTCTTCAATTCTGTGGAGTGCCATGTCCGATAAACTTTAAATTAGCTCTGATCATCGACGAGATTGAGATATCCTTGTTTGTCTAGCTGAAAATTGAGTGTCTGGAAAATTGAGAGTAGAATGGCGTCATAAGGTTCCAGAAAAAATTTTTCAGTCCTTAATTATCCTTGACGATCCCTTGTAGTTTTTTTGCTCTATAGCATTTTTAAAACTTTCACCCTGAAATATCTTGACTTTTACAAAATAGGAATTTAAAGATTTTCTTTATATCCTTGATAACATAACCAATAAAGTAGTCTTTTTAAAGGAAATCGGACATATGCTACTTTATAAATAGAGGGAACCTTAAAATTACTTCTCCAGAGCTGAAAACTTCAAAATGGTGGATATTGAGATCAATGCTTGATCCTCTCTTTTCTTAATATCAAGGCTAACTTAATCTTGTACTTGTATCCTGAAAAGTGTATAAAATTCAACCAATCAGAGTTGCGTATATGAAGCCGATAAATTTGAAATTTTGCCAGCTATTTAAGATTACATACAGAAACGGGAGGGACTCTCTAAATTAAAAAAACCGGTTTTTTATTTTCTCTACTTTTTTCTAGAAAGAACGGTTTAAGAAGAAAATCAAAAGTGTGTCCATTTGATACTCAGATTAAGAAATCGGGATTAAGGATATCTCAATCTAAAGTTTTCAGCTCATTCCTCTTGAATAAAGTTTGTTTTTACATTTTAGAGTTCAAGAAAAATAGTAAATGTGGAGATCTTTTTGCCCTAGAAG